CGGCAACCACGTAGGGAGGAGCTCATCTCACCCTATCATGCAACCCATCCCTTCCTTGACCTCAGCTCCTTCCGGGGAAGGTTGAGTTAATTGAGTCATTGATCCTCTCGCGGAACAATTCGGGTAGTCTACGGTGTACATACTGGGACTTGATAGTCCTTCGGTCAATCAAGAGAGAGATACCACCGTGGTCGACGGCTGCCTATCTACCATGTCGCAAGAGACCGAACCCCTCCTTCCTCGCTATGAGGAGGACACGACCCTCCAGCGGCGGTTGCATCAAAAATTGCACTCGTTTCAGATGCTGCGTGCCCTCTCGGAGGGTTACTTGCCATCTACCGACCAGGTCATTATTAATCTCCGTACCTTGTTGGCCTCCGATATCCTGAATCCTCGTACCCAGGATATCGGCTCTGTCGGTCGCCAGCTTATCCGAGACTGTCGTATCTGGATACAAGTCTTCATCGAACTATTGCGCGACAAAAATAGTGATGATAAGCTTCAGGAATTCTTGTGGCATCTGTCCCGATCTAGGGCATCTCTTGATCGTGGCCAGGTCGCACAGCATGCCTCTCATGTGAAGGCTAGACAAGATACCAAAGCCGGTAAAATCACACGTATACTTGATGTAAATGTAGTAGACTGATGTTGGAATAGCGTATGATAGTCTTCGCACTGTGGGAAGCCTTCTTCTGACCAATGCCGACTTTCGTCTCTTTGTTGATGACTTAACCACCGTTGGCCGCCAGATTTTCTCTGACACGGCATATTTCCTGTCAGATACTTCGAAACAAGTTGGGGAACAGATCAAACCATCACAAGAAGAGGTTGACGCGGTGCAGGGCGCAGGTGCAGATGAGGGTCAGGCCCCATCAAGCGAGGAACTACGCCAGGAGGTAGCTCAAGTCGTGGAGGCGGCCGGCAATGGAGCAGCCCGCACTGGACAGGAGGCAATCAAGAGTGCCAAAGAACATCTCAGGGGACAGGAAAAGGATACGTTGATCTACCGGTTGAAGCAAGCCGTCCTGAAACTGCGAGAGCGATCGGACTATTCGGACTCGGTAGCCACCCTTGCTACACTGGTGCAGCGTTACGCGAAAACCTACGCCAATGCGGCCTCAGATATAATCACAACGACTGAAGAGGAGGTCGAGGTGAATGAAGATCTAAAGCAAGCGATGCAACAGTTCTGGACTTTGGTTCAGTCGCTGGGCGATGCCGAGCAATGGAAGGCCCTAGAACAAAGATTCCAGAAAGTGCTGCAGCATGCTCATAGAGACCCAGAATTTGAAAGGCTGATGGGAGAGTTAGGGTCTTCGGTGCAGCAGATGCTGACCGATCCCAGTTTCTATGACTCTGCTTCGGAAAAACTCAGTGAACTAGAGGAGAAATCCAAGAAAGTCGGCACCGAGTCCAATTTGCGGCAGGACGTAGATGCTTTTCTAGAACAGGCAAAACGAGCTTTGCGTACAGCCCCTGAAGATGCCGCAGTGACCAAACTGCTAGATGCTACCAACAAGCTATACAAAGATGCATGGGACGGCTACTATGAAAGAAAAAGCGAGTTGCCCTCAGACATCCTTGAGGTCTTTTATCCTGTTCTTCTTCGAACCATACAACATATTCCAATTCCCCGTCTGGAGGTGATGGCGCCTGAGCTTGACCTTTTATTGGAGAACTTCATCCTGGAACCAGGCCACACTGTTAACTATTCATCATTTCTCCCATATCGTCTGCATATCACCACACGGAATGACATCGACGTCTTAAAGAGGCATTCAAAGAGAACCACGGCCGACCTCAAGACCACGTTTACTGTCACAGTCATGGGACTCAATGTCAGTGCTTCAGAATTTGGATATTGGCTCCGCACCCACTCAGGCCTGTTTCGTTTCCATGATGAGGGTATTGCCAGTTTTTACCTGGATAAGCGGGGCATTGATATCTCCTTGGATATAGAAGTGGGTCGGGAGCGCCTGGAACAGATCTTTACACTTCGCGGCGTGCGGGTGGTAATTCACAAGCTCGATTACAAGGTGCATCGCAGCAAGTGGAAGTACCTTCTATGGTTGACTAAGCCCTTCCTGAAGCATATGCTTCGTCGAGTCTTGGAGAAGAAGATCGCAGAACGAATCGTTGCCGCCGCTTTTGCACTGAACCGAGAACTCGTGTTTGCACGGGAGCGTTTGCGAGCTGCACGTATTGCCAATCCCCAAGATCTGGCGACCTTTGTGCGGGCGGTGCTGGCACGATTGCAACCAGTCTCAGACGTTGAGACTCGTATCGGCTTTGATGCACCTGGAAAAGGTGTCTTTAAGGGAGTCTATGCCCCTGGAAGTCTTACGAAAGTTTGGCATGAGGAGGCCCTGAGAGCTCAAGAGGCCATTGAAGAAGGCGATGAGAGCTATGGTCTGAGAAGAACATGGCGAAACGACATATTTAACGTTCCGACACGTAGCTCATGATTGACGGATGCATCGCTTTTTACTTTTTGCTCGGGGTTTCTTTCCATCCACTGACATATCTCACACTTATTTCAAACATTCCCTAGCGAGTTTTCTGCTTTACAAAGTCTATGTATACGCTGGGTCGTCCTGTTACTTCCTATATGCGATATATGTGTAATGATCGCCATTGACAGCAGCCGCTCATTTACTGCCATGCATGCCTCAGCTGTCTACATATTACGGCCCTTAATGAACTGCACAATTTTATTACGTAGCAGACATCACCAAATGAACAAATTTGCTGTATAGTGCTGCCTAGCTGCTGCTTCCAATAAAAAAGATGACAATTGTATAACCACACGTGATCCGGCCCGGTTGAACCATTCGCCGTGTTGCGGCCACCTAATCGACAAAGTTATGGTTTATTTGGTTGACAGTGGATGGACATCTATTTAGTTCAGGACAGCAACAAAGATCCAATTCCACCACACGCTTTATGAGGTCTTTGTTGATCTCAAGGCAAAATCTACGTGTACTTTATGGAGTGTTTGACTGTGCTTCCATAGTTCAAAAAGCAAGAAATTAGCGAAATAACCACTTTTCTTTCTCTCGCCTCTTATCTACTTGGAGATACCCGCACATCGACAAGACTCGTGCACCCCCATTGCAACGATAACGCCGCCAACTAATTATTACCAGACGCACACGAGCTGCGCGAACGCAGCTCGTAGAAGATGCTATCCACAATGCGCCTAACTTGCCTTTTCCTCGCCATTGCACTATGCTTGGTGCAGCTGGTGCTGGCGGCAGAAGACTATTACAAGACTCTAGGTTTAGACAAGTCTGCCTCTGAAAGGGATATTAAACGGGCATATCGAACATTGAGCAAGAAATACCATCCTGATAAGAACCCGTACGTCTATAACTTACCTCGGAAGTACTAGCACTCTAACGGCCGTTATGCAGAGGCGACGAGAACGCACGCGAGAAATTTGTCGAAATCGCAGAGGCATATGACGTGCTTTCTACATCCTCTACGCGCAAGATCTACGATCAGTATGGACACGAAGGAGTGGAACAACATCGACAGGGAGGCAATGCGGGACGACAGGCGCACGATCCCTTCGACTTGTTTTCGCGATTCTTCGGCGGCGGTGGACACTTCGGCCATGCGCCGGGGCACCGGAGGGGACCAGACATGGAGTATAAGATTGGGTTGCCGCTGCGCGATTTCTATAATGGCAGGGAGGTCACGATTATGTTAGAGAAACAGCAGATCTGCGATGCGTGCGAGGGTACGGGGTCGGCAGATCGTGAGGTTATCACCTGTGATCGGTGCGCGGGACATGGAAGGGTCATTCAGAAGCATATGCTGGCACCCGGAATGTTTCAGCAAGTGCAGATGACCTGTGATAAGTGTGGTGGGCAAGGGAAGATGATCAAGAAGCCCTGTCACGTATGTCATGGACATCGGGTCGTTCGCAGAGAGGTGGAAACAGCGTTCACTGTCGAACCTGGAATGGGGAAGGGGTCACGGATTGTATTCGAAAATGAGGCCGACGAGAGTCCCGACTATATTGCTGGCGACCTCGTGCTGATTTTGGATGAGCGGGAACCCGAGGCCAGCGATTACCAGTGGCAGACAGACGGTACCTTCTTCCGAAGGAAGGGTAAGGACTTATTCTGGAGGGAAGCGCTATCACTGCGGGAGGCATGGATGGGCGAGTGGACCCGCAATATCACTCATTTGGATGGTCATGTCGTCCGGCTTGGACGCAAACGCGGTGAAGTCGTGCAGCCCTTGTCTGTGGAAACTGTTAAGGGTGAGGGCATGCCATTTTACTCGGACGGTCATCTCCATGAAAGCCACGACCAAGATGAGGAACCGGGCAACCTGTATGTGGAGTACAGTGTGATCCTTCCTGACCAGATGGAGAGCGGAATGGAAAAGGAGTTCTTTGCGCTGTGGGAGAAGTGGCGCAAAAAGAACGGGGTCAGCCTGGACAAGGACATTGGTCGGCCCGAGCCATCAGTGAAGGATGAGTTATGATATATTAATTAAATGCACTGCATCAAGCTGTTTGGATGATCAACATGAGTCCGTGGCTTTGTATATTACTTCATACTCCATTAGATTAGACATCGATCTGCAATGATTAAAGCAGCGAAACGCTGCACCAGCTGAAGATTGGCGATCTCTTGCAGATTGTGTCGCATATGCAAGGAAAAAAAAGAAAAAAAAAAAAAAAATCAATCGTTGATGATCGTACAGCGGAGTGTATCTGTGAGTTCCTGAGAAATGGAAACCTATGCCGGATAATTGATTAGGGTACAGATAAATGCGTCCTTGGCCGAGTTACACGTGAGTTGTGGATCAATTTGCCATTCTTCATGTGTCTACTAGTAGTACACATAAACGGCCAGGCCTGGGTATATTCTGAACATTATTTAATTTTCTTTTTCCCTAAAAGAAAAGGTTTGCATACATTCTCTTTTGGAATCGCCAATCGCGTTTCGAATTACTGGTAGGAAATACAAGGTACTTATCCACCCATGACACCAAGCTCTCCTATAGAGCAACATGAAGAGGAAGATGTGCTCGGATACAGCTCTTCAGACTCCCCAGGACCCGACGAACATGACTTATTCACAGAGGTTATAAAATGTATACGACTGGATCGTCTCGCCAAATACGCCACCACAATCCGACAAAGCACGCAACACAGCAACCCACAAAGTTCCAGGGCAATTGAAATAAAGCCGCCAATCTTCGGCTCCTACCATGTGCTCTTTCCGGTGAGATTCCACGACGGAACTCTCTGGCTACTCAAAGTCCCTGCAAATGGGACCCGGGAAAGATTCAGAGCCTCCGATGCTAGAGCCATACGCTCAGAAGCACTGACGATGCGCTTCCTGCGTCGTGAAACTACCATCCCAGTCCCAGATGTTCATGCCTTTAGCGACACATGCGACAATGAGCTCCATTGTCCATTCATTCTGATTGACCATGTTGAGGGAGTCTCACTGTACAAAGTCTGGTTCGATAACGCTTCGCCCAAAGAGATTGTACAGGCACGACGGACTCGATGCTTGCGTGACCTCGCGGCTGCTATGGCTCAGCTGGGCAGATTCTCCTCCTGCACAGGGGGGTCAATAGCTTTCGATGACCAGGGATTTCTATCAGGCATCGGTCCCTTACGACTAATAGATACCGCAACGATGCGGGAACGGTTAAGAGCTGGCGATCCCGACCAATCGACAGTCTACTTGGAGATGGGGCCCTTCTCCAAAGCAAAAGACTACTACACAGCGCTGCTGGACTGTCAAACAGAGCCAGACACGGCCTCGAAAGGGGTGTGCTTGGACTTCTCCGATTGTTCATCGACTGGATTCCGGAGCCAAGTGATGAACTGGGCGCGTTCGTTCTGGCCCATCCTGATCTTGATGTTCAGAACGTGCTGGTTTCCCGAGACGGGGCGTTGCAGGCCATCATAGACTGGGACGGGGTGGGGGTTGTCCCACGAAGTGTAGGGAACGAACGTTTCCCGAGCTGGTTGATACGAGACTGGGATCCGGCGATATATTGCTGGACCGAAGAGATTGAGCGGCGTGCTGAGCCTCTGGGTCTTTGGGAGGATTCGCCCGATACGCTGAGATTCTATAGATCTGTATATACTGGATTCATTCAGTCTCATTTGTTGTATGATGATGATCCGGAGTGTGCTAACCTAACTACAAGATCTCTCATCCTCAGGAATCTACTAAACGCTGCGAATGATCCGTATGGTACGGTGGATGTCGTGCAGAAAGTCTTCAATACAGTGGTTAGCCTTGCCCAGGAGGGTGTGTCGACTCGGCAGATGCGTCTAGTAACGGCAAAGGTTGTCAAGAGGAAGAAACAAAGACTATGGAGAGTGGACTTGAGGACTTCGACTTTTATCATGTTTCATGCGCACTGGCCGAGAAAAGACTGAGTGAGCATCATAGAAGATACTTGAAGCTCGGATTTGACATCCTTTTATCACGAAGTAATACAATATAATTGGCACCTACCATAGACATGGATACCGTTTCTTTCATGAGGTCTATCCCACCCCGTAGTCCATAAGCACATTCATTGCTACAAACCCTAGGATAATTGCCAGCGCTATACTAGTAAGTAAAGAAATGAGTAGACCACACCACCGTCAAGCTATTACCACCGAAAAACAAGATATATCATGGTTTCATATGCATCCATCCATGATCATGATCCATATATCATACACCTACCTAGTTAGGCATAGTACAATCCATACCATACTTCATTCCTCAGGCAGAAAAACCCAAAAAGCGGTACGCCCCCCAAAACCAGCAGAATCGCACACCGCCATCCAATTTTTTCCGCAATCAACCAATACAACCACCGCAACAAGAAACCCCAAATACAGAGGGGAAAAAAAAGAAAGAACACCGTCAAAATGGTCCGTCAGCTAAAGTATCACGAAAAGAAGTAAGTCGATCTGCGTGCAGCTTCCCCGATTTCACAAACCCCAGGGCGCACATGTATATCCCGGATCCAGCTTGGAAGATACACAGAACCCTATCTTCAAGTTGATCAACAAGCTCGACTGGGATGTCATTTTTCTTCTGCGTTTATTTCTACGAGAATCGAAATGAAGGTTTACTATGAAATAGAAATTAACAAATTCGTTAAAACAGACTCCTCCGGAAGGTCGACTTCTACAACTACAAATCCGATGGCGGCCATCGCGAACACGAAGTCCGTCAGCGGTATTACCTCCAGAATGACCTCGACTATAAGAAGTATGTTCCCCATCACCTATCTAGCCTCGTATAAGTTTCATATGGATATAGAAACCTAACATAATACTCAAAGATACAATGCCCTCTGCGGCTCCCTCCGTCAACTAGCGCATAAGCTCTCGCAGCTCGATCCGGATAGCGATCCGACTCGGAAGAAGGTCGAAAGCGAAGTCCTGGATAAGCTGTGGCGCATGGGGATTCTGAAACAGAGCCGGGAACAAGGGGCTGGGCTGTCGAGGGTTGAGCGTGAGGTGACGGTTTCTGCGTTCTGTAGACGTCGGTTGGCGGTTATTATGGCGCGGAGTGGGATGGTGGAGAATGTTAAGACGGTTTGTTTCCCCCTTCTTTCTTCTGGGTTTGTGGCTCTGGTTGGGGCGATTTGTATTTGTGTGCCAGGGCTAATCTGTTTCAGGCTGTTACTTTCATTGAGCAGGGACATGTGCGTGTTGGAAGTGAGGTCGTGACTGATCCCGCTTATCTGGTGACGAGGAACATGGAAGATTTCGTCACTTGGGTGGATAACAGCAAGATCAAGAGGAACATCATGCAGTATCGCGACAAGTTGGACGATTTCGATATGCTGTGATGGATGGGAGTGGATTGTGAGACAAAGTGGGTGTGTGCTTCTGGTCGATACCCTTCACTATGATTTATATTATCTATATGATCTGCATGGCGTTACAAGGTGGCGATATTGGAAAAAAAAAGTATCTCTCATTTTCTTATATCAAGGCAATCTGATTAATTTTGATGCAAATAGATATGAATTCGGTCCAGTCTATGGCTTGTTGGGTATCAAAATTTCAAATCTCCCGCCCATGCAAGGGAATAATCAACGACAGTCTCAAGTCTCACGAGAAATCTGTGACACGTGTTCAACACACCTCACTCTGTGAGAGCGTCACAACTCGGAACTTTGGAAAGCTCCAGGCTTTTCTTTTTCTAAAGAATGTTACACAGCCAGTGGCTGTCATTGTCGAAATGAGAACGGTAAAGAACCAGCGTGGCATCATGACTCGGTTATTCGCTTTGTCGACGACTGCTCATTTTAGTCGTCACCAACTTTTGTTTCAGCTTCAGTGCCCGAATGGCATTCATTTTACGTTCCGGGACAGGCTCGTCGGGGAGGTCCATTCGAAACCGTCGGACACTACCCTCGTAGTTTCCTTTGCCGTCTTTTTCTTCAAAGAACGGCGTGCGGTCATGTCCGAACTGGCACCACTTGGGGGCAACCCGGCGCCAGAAGCCCCTTACCCCACTACTGGCACGGTCGATCTTTTTGTATTCGCGCCTCCGCGTGGACGGGGACGTCCAGTCAATGACAGTGACCGAGGCCTGGATCGAAGGGATATAACTTTCGTCATGGATGGTGTTGGTTATGGGTGAAGTGTGGAGCAAGGGCCCCTTATGATAGTCTTGATCCGTCAGGTCCTCGCTCACCGTAGAAATTTGGGTCGGGAAGACTGGGGACACCGGGGGTGAACCGGTCTCTGACGATGTGCGGAGCGTGTGTGGCGGACTGTCGTGGGTGGTTAGGGGAAGTGACGTTCTTCTATGCTGAGTCGGGATCGTTCGTCCACTGTCTTGAAATAAACGGCAGGATTCCCGGTGCAGGGCCAGAAGATCTTCCCGCTTGGTCTCTAGATCTTTGCTAGGAACCGATGGCGTGAGAGGTGCGTGGCGATGAGAGTGTAAAGAGCTATGGCGAGCCGTCTGTGCAGAGCGACGGGTGCTTCGAGATGATGAACGACGATAGTCTCCGGGACTTGTCGACGAGGGCGACGGTGGTGATGAAGTTCGTTTCCGCTTTGAAATGCGAGGGTTGTCGCCAACGGGAGATAGTTCTGGTGTGACGCTTGGATTTGTGATCGAAGATCCTTCCATGCTCAACCCCATATCGTCGGCGATATCAGGAGTGACTGGGGAGGTGCATGTGTCCACAGTGATTTCAGTGAGTTCCAAGGTGGCTTTTGTATCGGGCAAGGCATTCAGGTTAGGAGAAGAAATCTCAAGGGATGGAGGTAGCTGGGATCCAGCCAGGCACGATGGAGTTTCCCCGGCGCCTGGACCCAGAGCAGTTGGCATAATGGTTTGGACTATGTGGAGAGGGCGGCTATTGTTGCTATTATTATGGTGATGGTCGTGCGGCAGGCTGTAAGGATAGCCGCCGTGGGCATGCGATTGGCGATGGCATGTGATGGCGTTCATGGTTGGCGACAATCAGCTGCCGAGTAACCAGTGGTCGGGATTGTCGAAAAAAAAAAAACAGGAATATCCAGTGAGGCGCAAAAGATCGGGTGGATCAACCGACCATGAGACTCAGTCTCTGACCATCAATACATGACAATAGGAACAGTGGTTCTGAAGAAGTCAGTACTATATACTTCATGCGGGCTCCACCCAAGGCCTTTTATCGCCCGGAGTACATCGCCAACATGTCTACATACCGGTACAATGAAACATCCTGACGGGGACTCCAGCCCATCAAACTCGAGAGAGAGAAAACATAGAGAATAAACGAGGGCCAAGCAAACAAGAAGGAGGGAGGAGGGGTTAAGAGGGGGAGGGAGAGTGTGTAGACCGGAAACAGTTGATAGTGGTTCGCAGGATGCCGGAGCCGACTTATAATAATGATAATAAGAATAGTAAGAATACTAATAATCACTCCATCAAATATAAGGAGAGTGAGTTCGAAGGGAGAATAGGCGAACTAGTTCTTCACCGACGGGGAACTTCCACTCTTTTGGGCGAAAAAATGAAAAACGAGAGATACACCACAGACGATCGGTGGAGAGAATCGGGCACTTTACCCTTTCCCTTCGGGAAGAACACGAAGGACCAGAAAGGTAAAAAGAAGAGAGGATGGAGAGGAGACGATGGACTAGGGCAAACAAATTGATCCTAGTGACTAGTCTCATAGCCTAGTCCCCTAGTCAACTTGCAATCGGCGCTCCTTCCCTCTTGTCAACTCGATACGGAGGGCGTCAAAAACAATTCGAATTAAGAAAGAATAACACTGTGGGGCCCTCAGGCATCCAGGCAGATTGGATTCCCCTGCAGGTCGAGTCTGGACCTGCAGGTTGACTCCTTGACGACTCCGCGCCAGACCAGTCATTCGCCCCCCTGGCCACAGGCTACGCTCTTTTCGTATGACTATTATTTCTCCTAACTCCAAATGATCTCCATCGGAATGATAGGCACCCATCTGATGTAACTTCTCTGAACCACACGGACTATCGTGATCGATTATTGACGGCAAGGGGTATTTATTACTATATATTCGAGGTAAATAGTCCACACAGGAAGAAAAAGAAAAGAAAAAGCGGGATCGAGACCCCCAGCTTGTAAATTTAGACTACAGTCTATAGTCAGTATAGTAAGCGAGCGACCAGTCATTTGCCTGGGAAGGAGAACGAGACATGGGTCATTCCGTGGATGATCTCCCCCACCATGTGCCCCCGCTGCAACCAATGTCCGCTTCCGCGCCCCACTTGAATGGCGCACTCCCCCATCATGATCCTTCTCATTGGTCGTTCATTCTCACCGCCAGTCTTTCGCCTGGGAAGGCGGTAACCCACGACAGTCTAATCTGCTGGACATGAGCTCGTTTTTCCAAGGGCATGTTTGACTAACTGGGCTCCGTACTTGAGTCTTTGCACACAGAGTTTGAACAATGGCAGATATCAGGTGATGTCATGAGCACACCCCCACCACCGTTGGTTCATTCCAGATCGAGTGACATCCCGACTAGTGGTGCATCTCTCTGTCTGAGGATTCTACGAAGCCTCTTGTTTCTCAACGTATTTAGCGCCCAGACTAGGTCGACTCTGTGCTCGGTAACCGCCCGAAAAGCGGGAATGCACCCATTTCGGCCACTCACGAACATTTCGCGCATTTGCAAATACCAGAAGTGCTTCTCTCCCACAGTGCACGTTCATCGACATCGGTGCTCGTCTCCATGTCGTTTCATGTGCACCCAAATACGGACTGACCTCCCTTACTGATTTGAACGGCGATACATTCCGCACCATGTGAAGGGGACTGATTTGAACAGTGATACAGTACATACCATGTGAGGGAACTGTTTATGCGCAAAATACAGCACCACGAGGACTCGACGACTGACTGGCTGATACTCTTTTGGAATTTCTGACCTATCTGCTAATGAAATATTGCATATTCGCCTCCGATTTCTAGTCCCTATGCTGTTCTTCAGACACGCACCACCTTATGGATCACGTCTCCTGAGTGTATCCATCCATCCTAGTAGAAAATCGCGTGGGAATCCCCCTCCTCATAGTACCGCGGCTTTCGTATCGTCTGATGTGCATGTGCATAAACTGTTCCAATCCATTCTGGTAGATCAAGGGCTGAGTGAAACATGCATGCTGTATTCTTTCGCAGATCATGAACTACGGCGACGACGTCTTGGGCCGGTCAACAACTTAAACATAAAAAAGATTATCAAGTTGATTGAAAACAGCGACTTGTATCCATGGGGAAAAGGAGTAATATTCAGCAGTAAGATGACCAAATAGCTAGCTAGCTAGGATTGCGAACAATGAGGTCCACTTGCAGAAGGGAGCTCTTCACTCTCTGGTTCCCATCCATCCCTCCCAGAGGCTGCATTTTTCATAACCCTATGCGGCTAGACCTGTAATTCCCCTCAATCTTTTTTCGTACCTCCTCAGCAGTTCCAGCAGGTCCCTCGACTCTGTTTCAATTTCCCTGACATCCGGGGGTTCACCCGTACATCCATTGGGAGTGACGAGAAACGATCGGCTGACTTCCCAGATGGCATCTCTCTCCGCCTCTTCATAGACACCTGCGCCAAAGGGTACAATACATAAACGCCTTAGTCTCTGAGTAGATTGTTTTGAGACGATAAGACCCCAGATCCCTCTAGCAAGGGTTTCATCAGTTGCAGCATTGATCAACGTCTCTCTTAGAAGGGCAGTCCAGCCATTCCCGCTGCTGAAGGAGTCTGACCAGTGATAGCAACCTAGATTTATGACCAGGGTATGAAGCTGTGGGAATTGACCCATCGCCTTGTATATGTCGCACTCCGGCGGGCGGCCTCCGTTGCGCTTGATTGGAAGGCGAAGCTCTTGTAAATTCGGGCAACTCCTTGACAGTTCAGTGATATCTTGACTGTAAAAGAGCGGATATAGGTATCGAGTATACAGCCTAGAGTCTTTATGGTTCATATCCCATGGTTCGATCGTGAGGCCTTTCAGCGAGCGGCCATGCTGCATAAGAATACGATGAAGAGACTCTCTTCTTCGCAAACCTCGTAACCATAAATATTTTAGCGGATTGAAAGCCTGGACTGCGGCTATCATACCCTGGTCATCTGTAGATAAGATTACCGCACGCACATTCCATAGATCCATTGTCAAGAACAGTCTTTCCAGACCTGTCAAGATTGAGGCCGCTTGCCTTAACAATGTTGAATCCGAGTGAACCGCTATATCCAGCGACCGAAGCCGAGAAAGATCGACAGCACTGGCCAGTTTCAGCAGCGTCTTCTCCCAAGCTCCATAACGAGCCGGTGACGTGAAAGAGAGTGAATTCAAGCATGCGACTGTAATGGGTTTCACAGCAGTAGTATTGTATTTCCCCGCCAGTCTCAGCAAAGCCACAGAGCTGAAACCCCTCCCGCGTATGTGAAGATGTTTAAGAGTCCGAACCATGCATAAGATCAGCAGTATTTTATCAGAATGAACCCAAGACCTCCCTTTTTCGTCCATAAAATAGTCCACAGCAACAGTATGAAGCCCCGATGAACGAAGGTCGTCAAGATTCTTGAAAGCGCAAGGGAATTGTGTTTGTAGTAGAGTAGACGAATCCCGGCTTAAGCCTTGGAAAGTCCAGATGTTCAGCCGGCACATTGGATGATACTGGCGTAAGACTTGGTGAAGTGACAGGGGGTACATGTTCTTAACCACATAATTTAGCTCGCTGAGGCGCTCTAGATGAGCTATCAGCGAGCCAAGTGGTTGCCACTCCTCCTCCACATAATAACTGGGCCCGGGAAAACGAGACCAGAGCCTTGGATCTAGGCACTCTTTCAAGCGGTATTCGAGAAAAGTGTTCCCCGAAGCTGGAAGGCCGTAGTGAACAGACTCCATACTCTGATATTTTGAATTTGGGACAAGCCATGGCTTGTCGGTATAGTCCCAAAAGCAAACTATATCTAACCGTCGAGCATGCCTCAGAAAGAGTCGCCCACGCCCACCCTCCTTCAGCTCTAAGGCGACTTGCTGAAGACTCGCACTATCTCGAAATCTAATTCTGAGGGTTTCATAGAGTATAGGAGCCGTCGCATCGTACCAGCTTCGACTTGTCAGGTTAAGGTTGGTCAGGGTACCTAAAGGGTCAGCTTTAACCTAGATATGTTTAGTAAATTGCCACAATCATTAAAGTGACCCAAGGAATCACACACAAAGTGACAGATGTGCCACTTGATCTCGTTTGGAAGAAACTCCATGGCGGTCGTATGCCCTAGAGATCAGCAACCTTGCTAAAGCAGATAATCAAATCAGCCCTTTGGATCGACCTCAAACAAAGGTTATAGTCCATCCGTCGGTCTTTCAAAGACAGTTTTTCATTCACTAGTCTTGACATAGCTTCTTACCAATCGCAAACACCTTTGGGTAAGTGAATTACTGCTTCCTCGGCCGAAAAAGCAGGATTCGCGCAACATGACGTTCGTACAATGAGTGAATTGGGATTTCAATGACGGCCTAACCAGGCAACCAGGCAGGTGTATGCAGTGAATGCAATCGCCTTCCCAATCAGGTACCAACAATGCTTTCTCATGTCTCGCTAAGGAAGTAGTGGCCAGGCGGCCTGGGGCATAAATACTTCCTCCCCCCGCCAAGGTTCCCTCTCTTTCTTCCTTTCTTCGTAACACTCCTTCTTCGACATACCCATCTAGACCGGGCTGCCCAACGCACATCTTCTTGTTTCCTTCTTTCTATTTGCTTGTTCTTTGCTTCGATCTTCTATCTCTATATTTGGTTCTCTCGGTTGCCTCTTTGCTCATCTTTTGATATATTCTTGCCTTCTCTTCTTCTCTTCTTCTCAACTTTATTTCCCCCTTTGTCTGTACATACATACAACCGTACTTCTATTAACCAATTTTTTCTTCTAGAGCACCGGGTAGTGGTAGGGTGGGGAAGAGCAGAGCAAACAGCAGCTAAGAA